TACTATTAAGGGAATAGATTGGGCGGAGGACCAGACATGTTCCATAAGTTTGGGTAGTCTTGGTCCAATGCCACACACATGCTGAAACAAAAATGTTATAACTTGGCTATATTTTACTACTACTTTACCTATGAACAGGCTAGTTATACATTTTTTCATAAGATGGATGGTCTGACTATAACTTATCACTAACTTAAGAGAGTATGAATTAAGAATAAAACTTGTGGTAAGAAGGGGCAAGTTGAACCTTGATCTAAGATTATCGGTTCAGTCATATGTTCCATTAAAAGACTAAATGCAGGCAGTTATGTAACTTGGATATTTAAACTGTTCAGGGCGACTAGGATGGATAGCCTAGTCGTATGCCTAAAAAAGAGAAAAGTTGTAGCGCCCTGTGTTTGTGTATACTCTATGGTCGAGCTAGACAGGTCCCCATAAGATTGAGTGGTTTAACTTTACTCTTTACGTAATCTCGGTATAAGGGATAAATCATTGAAAGACTAGGAACTATTGTTTGACAAAATTAACTTTGGGTTGGTGAGAGTACTTACCTTTGTGGTTTGGCCTTGCATGTTGACTCAATGTGATTATAACTTAGTATGAGTTTCAGTTTGATAGGTAGTTGCTTTAGAAGTTCGTCACGTGCTAGGGTCATAGGAGCTAGTTTCAATTCCTGCATTTTCTGAGTTAAGTTTATTTTACTTAGATCAATCTTTGTATCTTTTGGGATCATTTGTTATACTTGGACTTGTATAAATCTTGGTAAGTTACTTTGTCTATGGGAAGCGCTGCCGACATCTCTACAAAATCAAAGAATTAGTAAGATTTTGTTTTTTCAAAGTTAAGTTTGTCTAAAATTTATGTATGACTTAGTAAAAATCTGAAAAGTCTCATTTTCTAAAGGGAATGTTGCCAAAATTTTTACTAATTCAGGAAGTTAGACAAAACTGGACTTTGGAAAGTCAAATTTATTATAGTTTTATCAACTTTGCTTTGTATAAATTTTGAAAAACAACTTTCTCTATGCAAAGCGCTACCGAAAGTTTTACAAATTTAAGAAGTTAGTTAAATTTTGTCTTAGTTGAATTCAAGTTTTTGCTTTGAGTCAATCTCTGACTTAGTATAAATCTGGGAAGTCTCCTTTCTAAAGGGAGTACTGCCAAAAATTTTACTAATTAAGGGAGTTAAACATAATTTGATTTTTCACAGTTATATATTATTTCAGTTTTCGTATTGAAACTAATATAAATTATGAGAAGACAGTTTTCCTACTGGGAAGCGCTGCCAAAATTTTATAGTTTAAAGGAGATAGATTATATTTTGAGAGGTGGCGATTTTGGCGATTCAGGGATCTACCTTTCTTTTAATATTTACGTCGGGGTAGATTCAAACTTAGTTAATTATGATGATTGTTTTTGTAAGATTGTGATATGGAGATTATTCTTTATTGGACTGATAGTCTAGTCTTGGGTATTGACCTGTCTTATGATACAAACCTTCTTTGGACATTCGATTCATGATTTGGACTAGTTTCATCTTGATCCTATAATGATCATTTTTTGTTATCACTGATAACAAGTCAGTTGTCGATTCGTCGGTTTACGACTCAAACCCAATTCACTCTTGCCAATCAACCTAAAAACTTTAGCCATGTGGTTGCTTTTATTTCGTTGTGTTGTTACCCGGACTTTATTGAATGGTCATTTAACAAAGATACTGAGTATTTTATTTTCAGAGTTGCACAAAAAGTGAGGTATGTATGGCTAAAGCGAGGGGTGTGAGGGCAGAGACTGGTTGAAGTTGACCCCGTATAGTGTATAAACTTTTGGTTCAATCTTTGATGTGATTGGAGGTATGTTTGATGGTTCAGACTTTCGATTTGACTGCCTGCGACCACATACATATATATGGTTGATAAAAATTTTATTGTGATTGTGAGAAGTGATCGTCACATATTTATAACCATTTATATATATGTAGATACATATGCGTTGGATGTTCGCGTGGTCTGCCGCAACCGTGCGTAAATGAGTAAAATGAGTATGTGTTTGCGATAAAAGAGAGATTCACTGTTATTTTTTTCTTTTAAGAGTTTTTATATAGTTGGACGTTGTAGTCTGTGACAACCGTCAAAGTTAAACCCCTTTATTTCTTTTCAGACCCTAAATGATGGAGATGGTCTCCAGTGCGATAAGAGACGATTGTCACCACAGGTATGAACCTGTATACCACCCACTCTCCGCAGGGTGCAGAAAATGGTGTGGTTCTCAACCGCACTTAGCGGTTGCTTAGCGTCGAGAGATTAACCCCTCAAGGCGTGTGTCAGCCGACACTTGAGTGTCGAACGCGACCTTCGAGATTATCGAGGACCGCTTGATTATGGGTACTACATAGTACGCCATCGTTGCGACTGCTTGCGTAAGCATGCATTGCTAATCGATATGAGAAGACTCTGCGTCGACGCGGTTTTATACCAAGTCTTGCGCACGTCGTCTATCCGATTTCCGCGTCGGAAGGTTATGAGATGGTTACAAAATGGGATAGGAGTGTTGTTGTGTTGTTTATTTTGTGTCATTCCTTGTGTGTGAGTGAAAAAGTGTGAGTGTTGTGACATAATGCGTGCTATGTGGAATGTGTCCTAGTCGATTGATAACGAATCGTGCTTGGGACTTCAACCCCCCAGTGCGTCGGTTCGCGTGCGGGTTCGATAGATGCGTAAAACCGCATGTACCCCCAATGCTCAAAAAAACAAGAAACGCCCTCGACTGGTCCACCTTTGTGATTGCAACTGATTAGCTTTCGTACTGTGGACTGGTAGCTCGGCGGGGATACGCCCATCAAAGGGAGGTGACAACTCCCGCACGTGGAGGTAAGTCGTGCCTCACATTGGCCCTATCCTGTCGTTGGGGCTCGTGAGAGCTATGGCTGACGCACTCGGGCGGAGCGGCTTGCGGAAGCTCCACGTGTTTCGCGACAAGGATCATACCAACTCCTGCGTGACGCGGCCAGGAGGGTCCCGCCTTGCAAGGCGTGAGATCGATTTACTCGTCAACGATGGTGGCAGTGCGACCTTGACTGATGACGGAAGGCCGGACGGACGGCGACATGAGAGTCCTTTCGCCAAAATTGGCGAAGAAGAAAATGACTCTCCTAAGATCGACTGATGAAGTGACCTGTCCGCCTGCAGATTCACTTATGAGTTGAGCTCTGCTGGAGGGTGCACGACGGAAGTAGGATCGCGGAAAATCCAGCAGATCCAACAAGTCCACAACCTGCGTCTACTGCTGCGCTGCCAGTCACTTATACCGTTACGGGCAGTGAGAGCAACACCATCCGGGCCGGCGATGTCCAAATGCACCCCGGGTGAGTTCCGAGGTCCTTGGTCCAACTCGATTCTTAACCAAATAGCCTGCAACTTCCAGAGCCCAACTGCTGAGTCAGTGGTCCCACTTGTACCTCGACAAAAATAATTAAACCGATCTCCCTGTCGAGGTTGTCCAATTGTTCGCAGCCCGTCAGGGGTGCGTTTTATGCCCCTGAGAACATTTTTCGTTGTCGTTCGTTATAAGGTTGTTGGAAGGCTGGAAAAACAAGGTATGGCAGTTTAGGGGGTGGTGACATCTTATTTGAAACTGCAGGACCGGTAGCTGCGCGTAGGAGGCCGAGGAGGCTGCAGTCCTTTTTCGAAATTGAAAAGGTGCGGGTCCACTTTTCTCGAATAGCAGAGTTCCTCGAATAGAAAACGTACCCGTTGTATTCGAAAACAACCTGTACCCTTTCTATTTGGATTTCAAAAAGAAAAAACTCTTGTATTCCTATAAAATTGCTTCTTTGTTTGTTGGAGGTCAGTGCCTGCCCTTGTGCTCCCCGCCACTGACATGCTGCATACTGCAGGTCTCCCTCTCTCTCTCTCTCTCTCTCTCTCACACACACACACACACACACACACACACACACACACACACACGCTCCCGGACGCTCACCCCCGCGCCCAGCTCCCGCCC